CCACCAGCGAAAGGCACAGAGACCCAGGCAGGTGGCAATCAACAGACACAAGCCAGAATTAACACTCTGGCACAGCCTTCCGCCCCCTGGCATCCAAGGCTGGACTACAAACACCATAACGATGCCGGGGGGAAGGTGAAAGGGGCTGTAATCCATCTATACAGAGAGCGCCCGTTTGGAAAAGCGGCTCTAAGGACAAGGAGGGAGCACGGATCAGTGCATAATCGGCAAGAGAGTGTCCTGTTCACAAGGCTGTCTCCCCGAAGCGCATCAACGGGGCTTGGAGGCGTGACGGGAATCTGCAATTGCTTTCTTCAACCCCCCCATCCCATCCCCCCCCCCCCCCCGGTGTAAAGACAGACAGACTGACTCTGAGCCACAGAGCTGGGATGGAGACTTAAACCCTGCGGTTCACAGGGAGCAGCCTCTGCCAAGGGTTGAACACTCGCAGGTGTGTGTGTGTGCATAAATCACCGCCATGTTCACCCCCTTTGCTCGTTCCAGGAAAAAAAGGAAGCCTCCATGAAGGCCATTACGTTTTTCTACACCGTTCCCTACTTCGTCACTTCACCTTTAAGGATAATGTTATTTGCAAGAAGAAGCCCAAAGAAACCTGGGCGGTGCACGTGTCCCGTTTGTGCCAATCTGGGGCTGGGGAACTTGAGCCCGAGCTCGGCGAACGTGCGAGCCATCCGTCCCCGAAACAAGCCTTTAGCAACTGGAAAAGATGGGAGATAATTGGGAGGAGCAAAAAAAAAAATTTACAGCATCAACAATAACAGATACTCGACCGTTCTGCACAGCATAATAGACCTTTAATGTATTCCTTCTGTCGGCATTGTGTATCTGCGTGATAATTTTATGTGACAGTGTAATTAAATTGGAAAACAATTCCCATTTCCTATGTCTTTTACCTATTTATCATCATTTATTTCTTTACTTTCACCCCCTGCCATAAATATTATTGTAAGAAGAGTTAAATAAGTTAAACCAATGCAATTACTTTTACAGATTGAAATTAACTTCATATATCAATTTATACCCGATTCCCAGCTCTCTGCCCTGGATTTGCTGGACTATATTTACGATGTCACTGTGGTTTCTGTGTTTGCATTCGTTTTTGAGTAATGATCTGTGTGTTAAAAGCTGACATTTTAACAGTATTTTCAAACATTTTCATTCATTATCAAATAACCATTTGTTACACTGTGGCAATTTCAAACCATTTACTGGACCCCCCCTTGCCCATTGCTAAACAATGATTAATCAACCACGGTGCAAATTTTAATGCTTATCACAGCAAATAGAGAAAGTCGCATTAGACAGTGACTTGGCTCCCGGCTGGGTCCAAATTTTTCTTCTTCTTCTTCTTCTTCTTCTTCTTCTTCTTCTTCTTCTTCTTCTTCTTCTTCTTC